TAGTCCCAGTAGAGAGGCAAAAACCTGACAAGACCTCAGAAGAAAAAAAAATGGGTTTATGCTATCATTTGGGGACTTACTAAGGGCTTAAGTACAAAAAGGTTTCAACAGCCCCTGAAGGTCTGCATATCCTTGCTTCAGTACCTGAATTCTTAACATACTGCACTTTGTCCTGTTTAGATTTGTGATAGACAATTGGATCACACTCTGCCTGGTGCATAGCTGTGGCTAAGAGTATAATGTAGTTCAGAATGCCTGGGATGTATTCACTGTGGGCCTAATAACAAGCTAATGTAACCTCACGAGTCTTGAAACCAGAAAGATAAACTAAGAAAGAAGAATGTTTCTTGGAGGGCTTAGGCTGGGCATTTAAAAGATGTGGCAGAGAACGCCCACAAAAAGGGGAGAGTGTTGTGGGGTGCAATGGGCCTAAACAAATAATTCTCATGCCTACATGGCAATGCACCCTGTTTGGGCCTTCTAAAGTAAAATGGAAACAAGTGTGATAAAAGAGGTGGGAACCAGGAGCTAGTGTGCCATGGGGATGAACAGGGCTTCCTAGACCAATGGTGGGAAGCTCCTGATCTAGTCTCTTGAAAAGGAAAAGGCATAGAGTTTAGTGTAGGAAAAGATGAACGAGATGGTTATAGACTGTGTGTGTGTGTGTGTGTGTGTGTGTGTGTGTGTGTGTGTGTAATTCAACAAGTAGGTAAGGTTGACCAGCCAGCAGGCCCCAAGGAGCCACTTGTTACCACCTCTTTTATGTGTTTGTTGGGGTGGAACTCAAGTCATCAGGCAAACACTTTACTGGCTGAGGTATCTCCTTAGCTGTATTTGGAGTGTTTTGAGAACGGTGATGGCATATGTTGATACTGAGCTTTTCCGGGGACCTGAATAACCCTTCTTGGTGTGTTAAGCAAGTTTTGTCAGGATAAAAGCCCAGTAAACCAATGAGGAGAAGAGTGGCAGGGATCTGGATTGGAAAGGGCAATGGTCTGAGCTGACTGAGGGAGGCGGGCTAGGGCTGCCATACTGCCTGACTTTCCTTTCAGGGTTAATTTCCAGAACTTTCCTCTGATAGGGGAAAGTCAAGGAGGGTGCTTTCTGTCTGTAAGAGTAGAAGAAGCTATTTTCAGCTGGCTTTAGGGAGGGACCAGCAACACCAGCATTCCTCTCTCAAACCACAAGAAACCTTCATGAATGTGGTTAGAAATTGAAAGTAAAATTATGATTACAATGCTTAAGTGAGAACAGGGTCTGTCAGAGGAACCTTCAGACAGAGAAGATTTTAATGATATCTCAGTGGCATCAGAACACAGGAAACCACTATGCTGCATGTGTCTCGACACATGGGACAAAGACAACACAATGTCCAGCCCCTCACCACCATGGTTCCAGTGTTTAAGCCATTCCTATTGGGTATAGCCAGAACTCACAGTCCCTTATCTTTGGAAGACCCTCAAATGTTTAATCTTCTCTGCCTTGTACAGATTAAATTACCAATTCCCTGGGGCTGTTATGTGGCTCTTTCTTGTTTTCTTTTGCTGTCAAATTCTCACTCTGTAGACCAGACTGGCCTTGAACTCAGATATCCACCTGCCTCTGCCTCCAGTGCTGGGATTAAAGGCGTGAGCAATGCTCCCAAAGCTTGCTGTTGTTTTTAAGGCTAAATTAGAGAAAATGAAAGAAACGGGCCTTGTAACTACATCCACGCTGAGACTTACCTGATAAACAGCACTGAGTAATAAGATTGGAAATTGTCTTAAAAATTTTTGCACATTATTTGGTTACAGTTTCCATATGGCAAAAAAGAGGCTGGGAAAAAGGAAACCCTTCCATTCTACACCCCCTCCCCCAACCACATATTTAATCCATGCGCTTATGTCAAACTTAATTACAGGACTTTTGGCATAAAATAACAGTCTACATCCTCAGAGAGAAGAACTTAAGAAGTTAATATGTGCGATTGAGTGAAATTGCTTGGCCCAATGTTTATGAGTAACTCAAGACCAGTGAAATGTGCCGATATTTTAACCATTTCAGGGCTGAACTTGTGCCAAGAGGCTGTGAAGTAAGGGGAAAAATAATTTTTCTCGATCCACCACGTATCATATTTCTGGAGACAGAGAGGGCTGGTTAAGGCCATTTTATGGGACTTTCACAAATAGGTTTGTGGAGAAAAAAAAACAAAAATCAACAAAGTCAGAACAATTATGGGACTTGTCACCATCTCAAGAATCTACAGGGATTTGACCAAGGTGCAGAAACTTTAAAGTATGTCTGTTCTGAGGAAAGTTCTTCCAGTGCTCTCTACCAAGGACAATAGCTCTCGCTTTATTCCTCCAGCCCCTACACTCCTTTCCAGACATTTCTCTTTCCCACTGATCTCCAGTCCAATGTGAATGGTTTTAAACTGTGGAGACCCCCACCCCAACAAGACACTACACTTCCCACCACCGTCTTTAATGAAATAAACATCTGTTTAAACATCTCCACCCCCTCTTAATTGTTCCTATTAGAACTTACTTCTGGGACTTGAGAGACAGCTCAGTGGTCAAAAGCATGTATTGTGCTTGCAGAGGACTTGACTGGCTCTCAGCACCCATATGAGGTGTCACTCTAATGTCTAACTGAGTCCCAATTCCTCAGCCCCTTGACTTTGGGGGTGCTGAGAGTGACAGGGTACAGTCACATCTTTCCTTCTGTGGGACATCCAGAGAGATGTTGCAGCCTTTCTACCTCAGTCTTCCTTTTTAAAATGTGGTTTAAAAATTGTTATTTATTTATTTTCTGTGTGTGGGTGTTTAGCCCGCACGTATGTCTGTACACTGTGTTCATGCATTTCCTGTGGAGACCAGAAGAAGGGATCAAATCCTCTAGAACTAGAGTTATGGATGGTTGTGAGCCACCATGTGGGTGCTGGGAATTGAACTCAGGTCCTCTGGAAGAGCAGCCAGTGCTCTTAACCACCAAGCCATCTTTCTAGCCCCTTGAAAAATTATTTTTTGACATAGGATCTTTGGACATAGCCCAGGCTAGCCCTAAATTTGTGGTCCTCTGGCCTCGGCCTCCCCAGTGTTGTGGTTGTAGGTGTGCACCGCCATGTCTGGACCTCTCCCTTATTCCTCTTCCTTTCATTTCGCTCATCAGCATCCCCTCTTGTTATTTCAAAATGTCTCTGAAAAGCCCTCTTCTCCCCTCACTGCTGCTTCCAGCTTCACTAGGTTATATTTTATAATTATTTTCAGAGCTGTTGCTCAGCCCTGCACACTGGAGCCTAGCCTTAAGAAAGATGCAATAAAACTTTGGTGTTGAAATGGCAAGATGCCCGTGAACGTACCCTGCACAAAGCAGGGTCCAGAGAAGATGTGCCATGAAGATTCATTTATTTGTTCAATGTATTCTGAGCATTTAGTACATGATGCCATTATACAGTCATAACACTTTGAATTTTGCTGCATCTTGGGGATTCAGATATAGGAATCTTACATTATCCAAAATAGTCCCAGGGAGGCAAATGCCATGTTCTGGAAACTTCCTACATTCAAGCCCTGAATTAGAAGCATTACACACAACAAACAGAAGCAAATGCGCCCTCCTGTATTGGTTCTGAGTAGATTATAAATACAGAGATTTGAAGGTCATGCTTGCAAACTGTTTAGGTTTCAAAGTGAAACATTTTGGTAGGCATTAAAGTGCATGGGTGTTCAGCAGAGATCCATTCTTCCTCCAGGTCCTTGACTGAGGCTCATTTTCATTAGGAGACTCCCTCCCCCGACCACATTTAAGTTAGGCCCCCTGCTGATGCCATCTCTTCTCCTTTGTGTTTTTCCTTTGCTGCACTTATGACATCTGGTATGTATGTATTTACTGTGAGGTTACTCCTTTAAGGTCAGACTCCCCCTTGACGCAACCCCTTGACACCGTCAGCTTTAGAAAACAGGGACTATGCCTGTTTTGTTCAACACCCTATGCACAGCCCTAGCGGAGTGCCTGGCACAGTTTGCACTCTACACCATTTGGTGAATAACTGTCAATGTCACAACGGTGATTACAAATGTGAAGCTAGTCTATCAGTCATTTACTTTTTACTTTGGAACCACTCACACAACTTTTCCACGTCTCTTCCTCTCACTGGTTACTTGTATGTAGTTTGTTACTGAGGTATGATTGAGATCCCTGTGGCCTGTTGGGAAGAAGGTGACTTTTGTCCCCTGATTGCTGCTCTGTCCGATGGGCATGGGAACAGCTTTACGATGGGAATTGGAAAGGTGAAAGCACGGAACACAGCTAGAAGATGCCAACTCTCAGAGGAGTCTGGGAAGTGGGAAAAGCCGGACATGGGAAGCCAATGACCTCGGAGTCTTCCTGTCTTCACTTCCTGTCTCCCCAGGAAGTGTCAGTCAGAGACTTTCAGGAAGTGGTGTTGTCATGGTAATCTGTGCTGGCTCTTCCCCTCCAGGCCTTACAGGGACAAGTGTCCTTGTGTGCCTCCAGCTGGTAAGGGGGGGACAGTAGCCAGTTTGACATTTCAGACACAACATGAAAAATCCAGAGCCTAAAACATCTGCAACTATGAGCTCCATTATAGCACATAGCCCGGACTCCAGCTCAGAATACAGTGAAGCCTTTTCCTGAACTAATTAAAATTTAATCTGCTAAAGCCATTTACTTGATAATTTGGGAATCCTCTTTTGGCTTCAGTAAGTTACAAAGAGCCTCTAAAATAGAGGATGCTGTATTTTTGCCCTTTCATTTCTGTGTATTGGAATACACACACACACACACACACACACACACACACACACACACACACAAATAGGACTTCTAAAGAAAGGACTCTAGTTATAGCATCCATATAAGTTAGCATCCAAACTTTAGATGGTGAAAAGTAGGGCTAATAATAATTGCACAGGGACAACGGACACAAAGCAGGCTGTTGTAGGATCAGGGATAGACCAATTGGGCTTCTAGTTCCAAGGTGCCTGGACAGTGTCTGTGTGATCCTTATGTCTTAGACAGTGTTTGGTATACAGTAAGTGTTCAAAGTGTTATTGAGTGAACCTGTGCTTGCTCTGGGTATATGTTCTGAAGACAAGCTAGCTGGAAGCTTCACAGGATGCAAGAGGACCAAGAAGGAGAAGTCACTCATAAAGGACAGACAGGTACCTGATGCCTAAGTAGATGTGTATTCTGTGTTTACTCATTCCTAACGGCTAGCAGTTCATTGCCATCTGTTGACAGACCCGAGGGACATGTTAAACAGCTCTTGACATTTGCATATGAATTGTCTGCCGGTACATTTTACTAACTCTCATTTATGAGCTCCAGTTTCCTCAAATGTATTATAGCATCCCACATTTCACAATACATCCACAATAGATGCCACTCCTTAGGGTCTGATGGGCAAAATGAGCAGACTCCTCAAAATTTCCTTCAGAGTTCGTCAGAAATGTCTCCTTCAGACTGGGCTGCCCTGACTCTCCAGGACACACTGGTTCCCACCCCTCCTCCTCTGGCCTGCTGGGTCCTTCAGGAAGAGCGAATTGGTCCATTGACCCCTAAGGAGCAAAAGGGCATGTCTAGCTTTTCCAGAGGTTGGTGACTCTCTGAGTGACACTGGCAGAGAACAAGTGTTGAACATTGGCGTCCTGTGGCAGGTTAAGGCCTGGCCAAACAGCCTTACCTCCTTGCTTTTTGCCCAAGCCTGTGAGGACTGGTTCCCTGCCCTCCTCCTCCCTGCCCTGCTTGAGTGAGTGCTGGGTCTGTCCTCTTCCCATGTCTTGGAAGAGATCTGTCTCCTTTGACAGACTCAAGATTCCAGGCCGAACTTTCCCATGCCACCGTCCCTCAAAATAGCCTGTGCGAGCTGTATTTATAGCTGTGTGAGACTCTAATGGGCCAATTTGTTTGAATTTCCACTGCTTTTGTGTTGAACTTACCCCTCACCCGTGGGCAGTCTCTTCAGGCCTTTATTGATGGGGTGTGTTAGGGTGGCGAGGGCCATGTTCAAGATGGTAGCTGTGTAGATCATGGGGGCTGCTTTGCATATTTACTGTTCTTTAAAGATGTGTTTTTTTTTTTTGAGAGAGAGAGAGAGAGTGAGAGCAAGAGAGGGAGAGAGAGAAAGACACAGAGAAAGAGGTTTCTGTAAGTAGCCTGGACAATGAGAACAAGACCGGCTGTATGCCGAGCTCGGGACCCTGGCCAAAACACATATCATTAGCTTGGACCAGCTATAAGCAAGGAAATGAGAAACATATGTTGGAGGGAAAGGTTAGGAGTGAAGGACTATGGGTCAATGACAGTCGCCCTAAAACTTTTCCCTTGTTCTTCAGCTGTGGCCTGGCGGTGTCAGATGTCATTTGGACTGCCTTGATTTCTCATGGCGGGGGCTGCCCCATGCTCCTTTCCTTTCTTCCCCCCTTTCCTCTTCCTGTTGCTTCTTCCTGGGACTTTTTTGGGGGGGGTGGCAATTAAAAGACAATAGGCAGAGAAGGATGTATGGTGTAAGAGTTTTCTCAGTTCTGGGAAAGAGACAACGTCGCTTCCCGTGATGCTGTCTAGTTCCTCGCTTGCTCTGAAATCGCCCCATCCCTGTCTGCTTAGCGTTTAGACTCAATTGATTCTTTTTGGGGAAAAGGCGGGGGAGGCTTTTAGGGTCATCCTCGATGTTTCTTTCTTAAATATAATTAGATGCGCCTCATTACCTCCACTGAAGGACTTTTGTGCTTTCTGAGCTGTCTCTAGAGATCTTCGAAGAGCCACAGCTTGTCGTATTCTCTTTGCATTTGATCATATTAGCAGTTAATTTTTTTCCTTCCTCTTGACACATTTGTACTGTGTTCGCTCTCCCTCAGATATCTGGAGTTGATTTTGCTGGTTTGAAAGGCCACACCCAGGGAGCATGTTTGGGGCCTCCTTGGAACGAAGGGACTGTAATCTGCAGGCCCTTCCCAGTTTCCCTTAACATTTTTTCCCCTCTGGACACTTTGTTAACAAGGCTGTGCTCTGGTGTACTCCAGGGTCAAGACCTCTGGTTCTCTATAAAACCCAGACGAACAACTATATCACATGAAACTCAGAGGCAGTCCTCAGGGAATATGCTGTGGCTACTGTTCTGAAGTCAACCACCGAGCCAGACACTCACCAGGCACTTATACACAGGTTTGGCCAAAGGCACAATGTGATTAGGTATGTATCCACCTGTATCTGTATCCCAGGGAGTGGGAGCACCAGGCTGTGGTACATCTGTGGAGAGGGAAATGAGAAGGCCCTCCCTCATGCCACTTCTGCAAGGTCTTCATTTCTGTAAGATTTGGGAATGGTGTTGGGGTGGAAACGACTTAAAATAATTGGAACATCCAATCCTTGTTTATTTATTTTGCTTCCTTCATTGGACCTTGTTCTGAAAACAAATTAACGCTCTGAGTGTACGATAGTGGGAGTGTCTTCTAAGCCTTCAACAGAGTTGGGAGAGGATTGGCTTGAGGCTAGGGGGAACCCTCTTCCCCAGGTGAGCTGTGCTCACAGTTTTGTTATGTTCATGTGTGTGAAGGCATGCATTTCTTTTTCCTTTTTCTTTATTTTGACACAGGGTCTTGCTATGTAGTTCAAGCTGCTCTAGAACCTGCTATGTAGCCAACATTGGCTTCACCTTGTATTCCTGAGTTTCCTGCCTCTGCCTCCTCATTGCTGGGATAACACTACCCTCAACCCTGACTTTCTGTTTTCTAGTTGCAGTTTCTGGATGGTAGTTCTCTCTTTCTTGGTCCTAGAGGGAAGCTGACTTGATGATCTGACTGGTTGCTGGATCATGTAGGTTGTGTGTGTGTGTGTGTGTGTGTGTGTGTGTGTGTGTGTTTGTGTATCCCTGCTTAAAAATGTGGAGGAATACAGGGGAATGAGACAGCCATGGGTTGGATGAGTCAGGATACTGGTGACATATCTGAAAAATCTCATTTCAAGGACTCTGTTTCTCAACCCCTGCTTCATTTTCTTGAATGGTAGAAATTACTTGGGATTAGGTTAGAATCTATGTGTTTTCTTTCTGTGTCCTCACTGTTTGGCTGTCTCTCATCCCTCAACACAGTCATAATATGCCTACAATCCCTTTGTTTCCCTCCACCAATCTACTGGAAGCTTCTTGGTCCAGTCACAAGGCCCCTTGTTGGAAACTCACCATGCCTTCCTTCTCAATGCCCATCCGTTGTTTCTTGGGCGCTACTGAAGTCCACTTATCAATAACCACCATAGGGATCCTTACAAAATCCATATTAGATTAAGCCCAGCTCCCTACTGAAAACCATGCTGGTCCCTGTCTGCTTCTACTTGATCTTGAAGTCATGCTGGTTTGTTTCTCTCACCAGCAAAGTGGAAGAATAACAATGCCTTTTACAGAGGTAGGAGGGATGAACACACACATACACACACACACACTCACACACACACTCACACACATACACACACACACTCACACACATACACACACACTCACACACACACACACACACACACACACACACACACACACACACACACACACACACACAACACCTGTACCAGTGTCTCCTAATGGCAGTTGCTCCATAAACAGAAGTGCCATTAACATTTGTCAATCTGAATTTGCCAAGGACTTGCCTGACTCAAGGCCTTTGTAAAGTCCTCTGTCAATTCTCTTTTTCTCTTTGTACTGCTGACTTTTCCTTATCTTTCAAGTTCAAGTTTAAATGTTAACCTTTCCAAAGTCTTCCCTGACTAGTCTATTCACACAAATTTAATCCCCATTCCCATTATTTCCTCCCATAGCACCCAATTTATTTCCATAATAGCACTTTTTCTAACTTGTGACTACATGCTATTTGTTTACCTGGGAGCAGACCTATATTTAATATCCTTATCTAGTGCATTGTGGAATGAATGCATGAATGAGAGAGCTTTATACCTTTCATCTTCTAACATCAAAGCCACCCTCCTTATCTCCTGTATCACATTCTTCTCGCCAAGTCCGTTACTTATCTGTTTTCCCATCCTTTCGCCATTACTGACCTGCTAACGGCAGTGAGATTGGAAATGGAAAAAATCTCTGAATCACCCACCCCTGCCCCTATCTCTCTCTCACTTCTCTGCTCTTCCCTCTTGCTCCTGGGCCAGTTTTTCTTTTGAGAGCCTCACACTTTCCTTTATATGTAAATGATAAATAATAGAATATGTAATATACTGAGTGAGTCCAATGACTAATAACTCCTCATCTGCCAAGTTAGAAGAGTTTGGGAATAAATTAACTCATCCTCTACCATTAAGAGATCAATGCCTGGGCAATTAGTCCAGGAATAGCCAGGAACAGGTGTCTCACACACCTACCTGAAGGACTCAGGTCAGGTGGAAGAAAAATCCCACCTCTCAGACTTGGTCTTCGTCATGCCCATCTTGGGTGCACAGAGTATGCTCCTGAAGCTGTGTCTCCTGAGATTAGAAGAGATGACCTGATCTGGCCCCCGAATCCCTCCTTCATCCTTCATGCTTGCTTTCTTCCTTTCTCTCTTTCTTTCTCATAGACAAGAGTACCAATATGGAAAATGCCTTCGACTGAATTTTTTATTATTTATTGATTCAGCCTGCAGTTCTTTCTTTCTCTCTTCTTAGCCTCCATGCACTTTGCTAATTACTTCTCTGGAAGCCATCTCACTTTCCACTCCCCAGCATGCTTCACCTTTGGGAAGGAATGTGGTAGTGTGATGGACTGTAGGGCAGACAACAGCTAGACATCAAGAGATGTCTTCTCGCTGAAGGGATGGCCCCACCCTCCTACCCACATTCATCTAATGCACCACGAGGGCATGATGTAATAATGAGAAATGGCACTGGCCTTCCATCTAAGCAATCCTTTCCTTTCGCAGATACAGCATATAGGTAAGTATCTTTGTCTTTAGTTCTGGGTCCTACTAAGACTTGTACGGTCAAATGACTCAGTTTCTCTCATTTGCACATTCAAAGCTCTCTGACCCCATTGTATGATCAGAAGATACAGTTTGGATATCTCATGGATGAAAATGTTCAATGATTTGAGTTACTAGGGGTGGTCCAAATATTGATTACTTTCTCTAAGAAGAAGACAATCAAGACCTCTTCCATTACGCATTAAAAAAAAAACACCACTAGATTT